GTAGAAGCTTTTTAGTTTGATTTAGTCCCATTTTATTTTTGCCTTGTTTTTCTTGCCTGAGGAGATAGATCAGCAAAAATATTGCTATAAGACATATTTGAGATTTTACTGCCCGTGTTTCATTTTTAGGATTTTCATGGTTGTACAACTTACATTTTAAGTCTTTTATCCTTTTTGAGTTTATTTTTGTGTATGGTGCAAGTTGGAGGACTAGTTTCATTTTTTTTTTTTTTTTTATCCTCACCAGAGGACATTTTTGCATTTATCTTCAGACAGTGCGGAGGGAGAAAGGAACAGAGAGAGAGAAACATCAATGTGAGAGAGACAAATCGAGTGGTTGCCATCCACAGGACCCCAACCAGGGCCGGGGACAGACTACAACTGAGGTACATGCTCTTAACGGGAACGGAACCCAGGTCTCTCTGGACCACCGGCCGATGCTCTAACCACTGAGCGAAGCCGGTCAGGGCTAGTTTAATTTTTTTGCATTTATCTGTCCAAGTTTTCCAACACCATTTATTGAAAAGCCTCTCTTGACTCCATAGTATACTCTTGTCTCTTGTCAAATACTAATTGGCCATTAAGGTGTGGATTGATTTCTGGCATCTGTTCTGTTCTATTGATCTATATGTTTGTTCTTATGACAGTACCAGACTGTTTTGATTACAATGGCCTTATAGTATAGTGTGATATTAGGTAGTATGATACCTCCTTTGTGCTTCTTCCTTAATATTGCTGAAGATATTTGGGGTCTTTTGTGGTTCCATATAAATTTTTGGAATATTTGTTCTAGATCTGTGAAATATGCCATTGGTATTTTAATAGGAATTGTGATAATCTACACATTGGTAGGGTTGACATTTTAATGATGTTAATTCATCCAATTTATAAATGTTGTAAATGCTTCCACTTATTTCTATCTTCCTCAGTTTCTTTCTTCAATATGCTGAAGTTTTTCGAGTATAGTTCTTTTACCTCCTTAGTAATAAATTTATTCCTAGGTTCCTTACTTTTCGTTGCAATAGAAAATGGGATTGTTTTCTTAAATGCTCTTTCTGATAGTTCATTATTGGTGTATAAAAATGCCAATTATGTTTGCTGAAGCCGGGTTAATCTGTTGGTTGGAGTGGCATCCTGTACACCAAAAAAGTTGCAGGTTCCATTCTCGGTCAGAGCACATACTTAGGTTGTGGGTTTGATCCTCATACCAGGGTGTGTAAAGGAGGCAACAGATTGATGTTTGTCTCTCACATTGATTTCTCTCTCTCTCTCCTCTACAAACAAATAAAAAACATATCTTTGAACAAAGATTAAAATTATGTCACTGATTTATTGAATATTAATTTTGCATCCTTCTACTTTGTACTTATTAAGTTATTTTTTTGGTGGAATCTTTGTAGGTTTTTTTTTTTTGTATACAATGTCATATCATCTGTGAATAATGACAGTTTTACTTAACTCCTTTTCAATTTTGATGCCTTTTTTCTCTTTTCTCCTCTGACTACTGTTGCTTGGCTTCCAGTACTATTTTGAATAGAAGTGGTGAAAGTGGACATCCTGTCTTGTTCCTCATCTTTAGGGAAAGGCTTTTAGTTTTGGCCCATTAAATATGATGTTGGCTTTACGTTTGTCATATATGACTTTTATTATGTTGAGGTATGATCACTCTGTTTCCTCTTTGCCGAGAGTTTTTATCAAAAATGGGTGCTGGATTTTGTCAAATGCTTTTTCTGCATCTATTGATATGATCATGTGATTTTAATCTTTTATCTCGTTTATGTGATGTACCATGTTTATAGTTTTGCAAATACTGTACTAACCTTGCATCCATGGGATAAATCTTATTTGGTCATGCTGTATGATCCTTTTTAATGTATTGTTGGATCTGATTTGCTAATATTTGCTGAGGATTTTAGCATTCATTTCATCAGGGATATTGGCTTGTAATTTTTTTTCTTTGTATTGTCTTTTTCTGGTTTTGGAATCAGGGTATTGCTGGCCTCATATAATGAGCTTGGAAGTCTTCCTTCCTCTTGAAGTTTTTGTAATAGTTTGAGAAGGATCGGTGTTAGTTTTTCTTTGAATGTTTGATAAAATTCACCTGTGAAGCTATCTGGTCCAGGACTTTTGTTTGCTGTTAGTTATTATTTTTTTTTATTACTTCTGTTTCATTATTTGTAATCAGTATATTCAGGTTTTCCGTTTCTTCCTGATTCAGCTTTAGAATATTGTATATTTCTAGGAATTTATTCATTTCACCCACCTTGTTCAATTTGTTGGTATATAGTTGTTCATAGTATTTTCTTTCTTTATGTTTCTTTGGTGTCAGTTGTTACCTCTCCTCTTTCATTTTTTTGATTTTTATCCTCTCTTTTTCTTGATGAGTTTGGTTAAAGGTTTGTCAATATTGTCTATCTTTTCAAAGAACCAGCTCTTTCTTTCATTGGTCTTTGTATTTTTTTTTTTTTTTTTTTTTAAGACACGATGTCATTTACTTCCACTCTGATCTTTATTATTTCTTTCCTCTTACTTTGGGTTTTGCTGTTCTTTTAGCTGTAGGGTTAGATGCTTTATTTGCAGTTTTTCTTGCTTCTTGAGCTAGGCCTGTACTGCTGTGTATTTAGCTTTCCCTGTGTCACACAGATTTTCTGTTGCTCTGTGTTCATTTTTATTTGTTTTCAGGTAACTTTTGATATCTTCCTTAATCACATTGTTAACCCATTTACTATTTAATAACATGTTATTTAGACTCCATCTGTGTGAATGTTTTTAATTTTTTATAGTTGATTTCTAGTTTCATACCATTGTAGTCAAAAAAGATACTTGATATTATTTTAATCTTGAATTTATTAAGACTTATTTCGTGTCATAATATGTGATTTGTCTTTGAGAATGTACCATGTGCACTTGAGAAGAATGTAATTCTTCAGCTTTAGGATGAAATAGTCTGTAAATATCAATTAAATTCATCTGATCCAGTTGCTTTGTTGAATTTTTGCCTGGTAGATTTGTCCACTAATGTCAGTGTGGTGTTAAAATTCCCTACTGACTGTATTGCTGTGAATCTTTCCCTAAATGTCTCATTATTGTCTTTTTAAATGACAAAATAATAATCCATATTTCTGATGTTAATTATTAATAAATTATGTTCCTCCTGTTGGAGGTTGCCATTCAGTATGGTAGAAATAAGAATGGAAAAGAATGTATAAATGTGAGCAGTAGGAGTTGTCCTTTGATTAAATGTAGGGTAAGGATTTAAATAAATATTTTTTTACAATTTTACTAAATTATTATCCTGATTGACTAAAGGATAATGATCCTAGGAAAAGAACAAAGGATGAATAAGAAGAATGATGTGAGAGAAAAGAGAGGATGTTTTTGAAATGATAAGTTTATAGAACTGGATTGTCAGGAGAATTTGATTAATCATGTGGGGATCCTGGATAGCTGTTTATTGATTTGATGTCAGTTTTCTCATCTGTAAGTTAAATACTGGACTACTAGATGATTGCTGAAGTCTAACTTTGGAACACTTGCTGTATCTTGTTTTATTTGAACTTTATTACCATTCTCTGATTTTTTTTTTTTTTTTTTTTTAGTGACCATTTATAAAACTTTCAGTTCATTAGATAAAAAAAAAAATGAAAAGATACAACACTCAATCCTGAGTCTGTTCAAAATTAAACTTTCCATAATACTGGAACACTTGACCTAACACAGGAGTTGTAGAACTACTGTGTCATTTTATCTTTCTCTGCCAGAAGCAACTTCTCATAAATTAAAATTGAGCGGGGAAGATGGGATTTAAGCCCAAACTTGGAAAAAGCATTCTGGAATTTTTTTAATAAATATTTTTCAGATTCTTATTTTTATTATCTACCAGAAATCCCAAATAATGACTCAGAAAAGTGTAATGCATTATGAATATAGTATTTAAATATATAGATAAATATAATAAATGTAATAAATATAATCTAGGGGAGCAATATCATATAGAAGAAAAGAGCAAGCTTATGAGTTAGTTAGCTTGTGTTCAAATATCATTTTTACTGCTCTACTAGGTATATAACCTTAGGCAGACTGAAATGAAAAGCTCGATTTCAGAGAATTTAATTTCTATGTAAAATTGAAATAGTAATACTGAGTTTGCCAAGTTGTCATCAGGATTAGAGAAAATGTTTGTGAAGTGTAATAGCCTGATATTTAGGAAACCATAACTTTTACCAGTTATGAGGAACCGTTATTATTATAATATGTACTTAGTTTATTCTTTTTCAAAATTGTACCTGTATTTAAACACTTGTTCTAATTCCTGTTCTGTAATTAGGATCGTGTGTGTTTATGTCTGTGTGTGTGTGTGAAAGACCATGGGATTTCTAATGTTCAACTTTTTGGTGGCTTAAATTATTTGGCAAAACTAAAGAATTATTTAAAATTTTTATTCTAGCTCTGGCCGGTTAGGCTCAGTGGTTAGAACCTCTGCCCGCATTCTGAAGGGTTGCAGGTTTTATTCTTGGTCAAGGGCATGTACCTGGTGGTTTCTTTGGTTGATTCCCCAGTCCAAGGCGGGGACATGCAGGAGGCAACCAGTTGATATGTCTCTCTCTCTCTCTTTCTCTCTCTCTCTCTCCCCCTCTCCCTCTCCCTCTCTCTCTTTCTCTCTCTCTCTCTTCCCCTCCCTCCCTTCCACTCTCTCTAAAAATTAGTGGAAAAATATCCTTGCTGAGAATTAATAAAAAATAAAATAAAAATTCTTATGCTTCAGGATCGACAAATCTCAGATGGCCCAATGTCTATTTTTAAAGAAATGTGTATTCTATGTAAATGCCTGTCATGTGCTCCTCTTGTAAGAATGCTTGCTAGAATTCAAACCATAGTGCAATAAAACCACTAGAAGTACACTTTTAGGGAATTTAGGTAATATAATGTAAACAATGTTTTGTTATAGGAATCAGGAGAGCTAATTCTCTTCTTCTTAAAGAGTATTGATTGCTCCACAGCCTCTCGGCCACTGCTCATCACAGCTCAGGCTTGGACATCACACCATCTTGGAGGACTTACAAGGTCCCCTTCAGGAGGAGGCTTCAGGGAGAAACTGTGGTTTGGTGCCCAGCCTTGCTGACTCCTGGACTCTTGCATCCCCTGCCCAGACTCGCATGCCCACCATGGACCTGGCCTGGACCTGCGTGCCCAACACAGACCTGGCCCTGCCCTGGACTCACACCGTGGCCCCTCCCTGAACATACTACAGCTGCAAATACCACTGCCAACACTGTCCTAGAGCCAAATCACGTGGCCCCACTTCCAGAGGTCAAAGGCGGGAGCTGCACTGAAGCCCAGGGAGTGGGCTGTAGCCTCCCCAGCCTTGAGCACTGCTAGAACTGAGGATTCGATGGAGACTGAAGAAGCTGCAGATCTGTGGGTGAGACAGGAGTGCCTGAGACAGAGAGAAGTGGCCCAGAGGGTACTGGCTGTGGAGACTGCCAAGGGGTAGGGGGGCCTGGAACTGAAACCTCCAGAAAGAGTAGCGCTAGTGCCCCACCATCATTCAGCTTGGGAAGTTTTCCCTGATCTATGTCAGCAGGAAGAGCCATGCAGTGTGACTCAGGGCTACTCTGCAGCGGAGGTAGCTGAAGGACACACTCAGCAGAACAGCTGCTTCTGATCCTCTGTGCAGTGACCTGAGGCAAGGGGGAACACTCTGGGCTTGTAATTTGTACTCCTGCAGGTGGCAGCATTAGAAGGAAAGGAAGGGCCTGCTGCCCCTCCTACAAGCTGCAGGCACCACCCCCAACACAAGTCTGATCAAACCATCCTGGCCAAGACCAGGATACCCCCACAGATCTTGTGGTGGAACGGAGAACAGCTCAGGACAATAACACTCACGGTGTAAGATCTGAGGTAGAGCCAGCCTCTGAGCAAAGGAAGTCCCCACCCACAGGACTACTTGGGTTCCAACCTATCAGATCTCAGTCAGGTTGCCAAGGGCCAGGCAGGGTTAGTAACTCACATTGTCCTACACCAGAGAAGCTCCTGGATGCACAGGATAGACACACCAAGGGGCCAGATTCAACAAAATCAGACCAAAATCCAGTGAGCTCCACAAATAGCAGATCCAAAGATTTTGTGTGGGTGTGTATTTTTTCTTGCATATTTCTCATTTCTCTCTCTTCATTCTAGTCACTTTTTGTTTATTTTTTCTTTATATTGTTGTTATTTTTCTAATTTTATTTTTCTCTTCTCTTTTCTCATTTTACTTTTTCTATTCTATATATATATTTTTTAAATCCTCACCCGAAGACATTTTTCCATTTATCTTCAGACAAAGTGAGAGAGAGAGAGAGAGAGAGAGAGAGAGAGAGAGAGAGAGGAGACATCAGTGTGAGAGAAACACATTGACTGGCTGCCTCCCACATAACCTCAATCAGAGCCAGGTACCAAACTACAACCAAGGTACAGGTATGTGCCCTTGATTAGAATGGAACCTGTGACTCTTTGGTCCACGGGCTGATGCTCTAATTGCTGAGCCAAACTAGCCAGGGCCTTATTCTATATTTTAATATATTCATTACTATTACTTTTTTAAAGTATTATTTTATTTATTTTTTTGTTTCCTTTTTAAAATTTTTATTCTAGTTCCTTTTGATTTCATCTTTACTTCCATATTTATCTCTCTCTTTCTTTGTGTTTTACTTCTGTTTTTCATTTTATTTTCTCTAAGTGTTTGGTCTTGAGTCTTTTAGTCTTCTATTTATATTTTCTTTTCTTTTTCCGTTTTAGCCTTGTTGTTGTTTTACTTAGTTTGGTTTTTTGTGTTGCTTTGGTTTTGTCCTATTTTGTCTACTTTTGTTCTGTAAGCACCTGTATAACAGCTGGCATGATGAAGTAAGGGTTGAGCCTCAGTCAGCAAGTCAGAGGGGAGATACCACCCATGAAAGAGACATGAACAATCAAATCCCAATGACAACAGGAGAGTCTAAATAATGAACAAAGGGACATTCATAGAGCATCCAGCTCAAATCAAAGACACTGCACCACTGGTCCCTCAGGACACATCTATATGAGGCCATCCCATAAAGACTGGGAGACATAATAGTTCTTCCTAATATGAAGAAACAAGCACACAAAAAAATGGGGAGACGAAGAACCTCCAAAAGAAAGAAAAGAAGGAATCTCCAGAAAATGAAGTAAAGGAAATAGAGGCAAGCAACATATCAGACATAGAGTTCAAAGTAATGCTTTTAAAGATACTCAAGGAGCCCAGTGTGGCTCCTTGGATTGAGCATTTTCCCATGGACTTAGAGGTCCTGGTTAGATTCCCAGTCAAGGCACATGCCCAGGTTGCAGACTTGATCCCCTGTGGGGAGCATGCAGGAGGCAGCTGATTGATGTTTCTCTCTCACATCAATGTTTCTATCTCTCTCTCCCTTCCTCTCTCTTTAAAAATATCAGCAAAAACATTTTTTAAAAAAGATGCTCAAGGGAACTTAGTGAGAATTACAACAAACTTAGTGGGTACTACAACAGCATGAAAAAGGATAGAAACCATGAACAAGAACCAGTCAGAAGTGAAGAATACTATATATGACATCAAGATACACTGGAAGGAATTAAAAATAGATTGGATAAAGCACATGATTGAATCAGCTACTTGAAAGACAAGGTAGAAATAAATACTCAATTAGAGTAGCAAATAGAAAAAAATGAATTAAACAGCAGGAGTATAGCTTAAGGGAACTTTGGGACAATATGAAACTTAACAACACCTGTATCATAGGCGTACCAGAATAAGAATGTGAGCAAGTAACAGAAATAATAATGGAAATCTTTCCTAATCCGCTGAAGGAAAAAGTCACACAAGTCAAAGAAACACAGAGAGTTCCAATCAAGATGAACCCAAAGAGGCTGCCACCTAGATACATAATAATTAAAATGGCAAACATTAAACACAGAAAGAATCTTACAGGCAGAAAGTTACCTTACAAGGGAGTTCCTATGAGCTGTCAACTGATTTATTAATAGAAACACGTTTGGCCACAAGGGAGAGGCATGAGGTATTCCATGTAATGAAAAGCAAGGGCCTGAATCCAAGACTTGTATCCAGCAAGGCTATCACTTAAAATTGAAGGCAATATAAAGAGTTTCCCAAACCAAAAAAGGCTAAAGGAGTTTATTACCACCAAACCAGCATTGCAAGAAATGTTAAAGGGACTGTTCTAAGAAGAAGAAATAGAGGGAGAGGAGAACATAGGTATAAAGAATATAAAAATGTAAATAAACAAATTCTCAGCAAAAAGCTTATTATTAATAACCTTTACTGTAAATGGATTAAATGCTCTGATCAAAAGTTAAGGGATGACTGAATGGATAAGAAAACATGACCATCGTATATGCTGTTTACAAGAGATTCTCCTCAGAAAAAATGGTTCACACAGACTGAATGTGAAGGGATGGAAAAAATATTCAATGCAAATAGAAATAGAAAAAAGACCAGGATAGCAATATTTGTATCTGCAAAAAAGCCTTCAAAATAAAGGCTATAAAAGACACAGAAGGCCACTACAGAATACTAAGAGGATCAATCCAACAAGAAAATACAACCGTTGTAAACATATATGCACACAATACAGGCACACCTAAATATATTTTAAAAACTCTTGATGGACTTTAAAAGAGAGGTTGACAGCAATACAGTCATAGTAGGGGACTATAACACATCACTCACATCACTGGATACATCTTCCAGTAGTAAGTAAGGGAACAGTGCTGATGTAGGCATATATAATGAGCTTCAAAACTAAGAAGAAAATATGGATGAAAATTACTTTATGATTTATCAAGAAATACATTAATCAGGAAGGCAAAATAGCAAAAGAAAGATTAGAAGGAAATAAAATAGATCCTAATATTTTGAGTATATATTTTATGACAAGGACAAAGATTTGTTCAAGAGAAAAAGACATTTTGAATAATAATAAAGCATAAAGATGCAGATAATAATGACAGATGGTATGCTATCAGAGGACCTGTTTTGTGCTGGAATTCATTCAAGCTGTAATAAGATAGCTATTTTTTCAAGTGCATCTTTCATTTTGGTGTCTTTAAGGAATAGACATATTGCTTTCTCTCTCTTATGTTGCAGATCTTTTATGTTGTATTTTGTACCTGGTATGGACTCAGCAGGGTTGTACATTTTCGATTTCCCAATTCATAAGATTTATACTGTTGTTACTTATAGCATTTTTGGTGGGTTATTATTTTTTAAATCCATAACCAATTGTTGACCAAGACATTACATTCAGTAGTAATTGTTCTCTGATATCATTTGATTACATTATTGCTAGAAAGAGTAGGTTTTGTACATTTGTAAAATTGATTTCTTGATTTTTCTATGCTGCACTTAAACTGTTCACTTGGTCTAGGGATACATTATTAATAAAAATACATGAAATTTGAGCAGTTTTATTTTATATACCTTACAATCCATTTTGAAGACATATTAAGCCACTGGTTCTGCAACTTTACTGTATCCTAATCACCTGGAGGGCTTGTTTAAACAAAAAAAGACCTCAAATAGCCTCAGCAATCTTGATAAAAGAACAAAGTTGGAAGTATCACACTACCTGATGTGAAACTATACTACAAGGCTATTGTAATCAAAATAGCCTGGTGCTGGCGTAAGAATAGGCATATAGATCATTGGAACAGAACAGAGACCCCAGAAATAAACTCACACCTTTAAGGTCAATTAATATTTGATGAGACAAGAGCATATAATGGAGTAAAGATAGTCTCTTCAATAGATGGTGTTGGAAAAATTGGACAGATACATGCAAAAAAGTGAAACTAGACCACCAACTTACACCATACACAAGAATAAACTCAAAATGGATAAAAGACTTAAGTTTAAATGTAAGTCATAAAACCATGAAAATCCTAGAAGAAAACCCAGTAGTAAAATCTGAGCCATCTCTCATAGCATTATTATTGTTATTATTTTCTTTGTGAATATATATGGAAATATCTTTTTTTTTAATTAATTAATTTTTGTTATAGATGTTTCTCCTTTTCCCCCCACTGGTTCCCCCCTCCCCCTCCTCCTCCCTCCCTGCCCTTTCCCCAGATTGTTGTCCATGTCCACTGTTCATGCATACATGCATATAAGTTCTGTGGTTTATCCCTCCCCACCTCCCCCCTCTTTAGGGGATTGTCAGTCTGTACCCTGCTTCCGCGTCTCTGGGACTACCCCATTCCTCAGACTGTTATGTTCATTATATTCCACAAATAAGTGAGTTCATATGAAACTTGTCTTTCTCTGTTTGGCTTGTTTCACTTAGGATGATACTTTCAAGGTCCCTCCATGTAGTCTCAAAGGATAAGAGATCTTTCTTTCTTACACCTGCGTAGTACTCCATTGTGTATATGTACCACAGCTTTTTGATCCATTCGTCTACTGATGGACACTTGGGCTGTTTCCAGATCTTAGCGATTGTAAATAGTGCTGCTACAAACATGGGGGTACATATATTCTTTGTGATTTGTGTTTTATGCTTCTTAGGGTATATTCCTAGAAGTAGGATCACTGGCTCAAATGGAAGATCAATTTTTAATTTTTTGAGGTGACACCATATTGTTTTCCATAGTGGCTGCACCAGTCTGCATTCCCACCAGCAGTGCACTAGAGTCCCCTTTTCTCCACACCCTTGCCAACACTTGTTGTTTAATGATTTGTTGATGGCGGCCATTCTGACAGGTGTGAGGTGATACCTCATTGTTGTTTTAATTTGCATCTCTCTGATGATTAGTGATGATGAGCATTTCTTCATATGTTTCTTAGCCATTTGTATGTCCTGTTTGGAGAGGTGTTATTTAGTTCCTCTGCCCATTTTTAATTGGATTCTTTGTCTTCCTTTTGTGGAGTTATTTTTGACGACACATATCCAAGGGAAACCAAAATAATAATAATAATAATTAATAGTAATAAACAAATAGGACTATATCAAACTAAAATGCTACCGTACAGCAAAGGGAACTATCAACAAAATGAAAATGGAACCCACTATGGGACAGTGTAATTGCCAATGATACATTAAATAAAGGGTTCATTTCCAAAATATGTGAAGAACTTATACAACAACACCAGGAAAACAACAATCCAATTAAAAAGTGGGCAAAGGACCTGAATAGACACTTCTCCAAAGAGAACATACAGACGACCTATAGACGTCAAAATAAATGCTCAATGCCACTAATCATCAGAGAAATAAATGCAAATTAAATCACAATGAGATACCACCTCACACCTGCCAGAATAGCTACCATCAGTAAATAAAACAAGTGTTGTGGAGAAGAGGGAACCCTCATGCACTGTTTGTAGGAATGTAGACTGGTGCAGCCACTATGAAAAACAGTATGAAATTTTCTCAGAAAACTTAAAATGGAATTGCCTTTTGACCCAGTGATCTCACTTCTGGGAGAATATCCTAAGAATCCAAAATACAAATTGGAAAGAATATACACACCTTTGTGTTCATTGCAGCATTATTTACAATAATCAAAATTTGGAAACAGCCCAAGTGCCCATCAGGAGAGGAGTGGTGAAAAAAAGCTGTGGTACATTTATACAATGGAACACTATGTAGCCATAGAAAGGAAGGAAATCTTACCTTTTGTGACAGCATGAGTCGACTGGGAGATTATTATGTTAAATAAACCAGTCAGAGAAAGACAAACACCATATAATCTCATACATATGTGTAATCTAATGTACAAAATAAACTGACAATACAGAAACAGAGGCATGGATACATGAAATAGACTGACAGCTGTCAAGAGTGGAGGAGGGTTGAGGTACTAGATGAAAGAAAGTGACGGATTAGCTCAAGAACATGAATACATAACCCATAAACACAAACAACAGTGTGGCAATGGCCAGAGGGAAGGGAATGGTAGGCTAGGTGGAGGTTTGCAAAGAGTGAGGGGGAATGGTGACATTTGTAATGGTGTCATCAATAAAAATAAAGTTAAAAAATAAGATTGATGGACCCTTCCCTCATTGTTTTTGATTTAGTAGGTCTGGGATGGGATCCTAGAATTTCCAGTAAATTTCTAACAAGTTCCATGTAGTGCTGATGCTATTGTTCTATGGACTACATATCTTGAGAATCACTACACTTAACAGAGTAATGTTACTTTGCCCTCCAAACAATTAAAAATTAGTAATGTTTGAATTGCATGCATGAGGATAATTGTATGACTCTTTTTTTTTTTATGCTGTACAGACAAATAATGACTGGTACCAGGTAATTGGAACTAATTTCTTTTGTTATTTAAACACTTAAATCACTTCTTTATAGAGAAATTATTTGTGTAAAATTAGGATGACTTTCCCTTTTATTTCTTGAATTTAAAAAATAGCATTATTTTTCCCTGGTCAGGTGGCTCAATTGGTTGGAGCATCATCCCATTCACCAAAAGGTTGCAGGTTTCTTTTCCGGTTGGGGCACATACCTAGTTTGGGGTTTGATCCCTGGTCAGGGCACATGTGAGAGGCAACTAATGGATGTTTCTTTTTCTTTCTCTCTCTTGCTCTCTCCTTCTCTCCCCCTCTGTCTCTCCTCTCCCTGCAAATCAAATTTTATAAAATAGCATTATTTTTTACATTAAGATATGTTTTCTTTATTCACACTTTGTTGAGAATTTTTATCATGACTAGGTACTGGATTTTTATCAGATGCTTTTTCTGTATCTATTGATATAATCATATGGTTTTTATCCTTTTTTTTTTAAAGTGGGATTTTATGGAAATCCCACTTGATCATGGTGTATGACCTTTTAAATGTGGAGTCAGTTGAACAAAATAAACAAAGTAGAGACAGATTCATTTATACAAAGAACAGACTTACAGCTGTCAGAGGGGAGGGGGTTGGGGGCAGGGTGAGAAGGGTGAAAGGATTAAGCAAAGACAAAAAGAAAGACTCATGGACACAGAAACAGAATGGTGATTGCCAGAGAGAAGGTGGGGATGGGATGAGGTAGAAGAAAATAAAGCAGGAATGATTGGGGACCAAGGGGATGTGACTTGGGATGGTAAACACACAATACAATATACAGATGATGTACTGTAGAATCATATACCTGAAACCTGTATAATTTTATTAACCAATGTCACCCCAATAAATTCAATTAAAATAGCATTATTTCTGAAACTAATACAAAAAATCATTTTTATTCTTTTTCATAGCAGCACTCTTTACAGTAGCTAAGATCTGAAAACAGCCCAAGTGCCCATCAGTAGGTGAGTGGATAAAAAAGCTGTGGTATATTTACATAATGGAATCCTATATAGCCATAAAAAAATAATTCTTACCCTTTTAGATGGCATGGAGGGACCTGGAGAGTATTATACCAAGTGAAATAATCCAGTCAGAGAAAGACAAGTGTCATATGATCTCACTTATCTGTGGAATCTAATGAACAAAATAAACTGACAAACAAAATAGATCCAGAGACATGAAAGCTTGGAACAGACTGGCACATCTCAGAGGGAAGAAGGGAGGGGCGACAGGAAGAGCTTAACCACAGAATTTATATGCATATATGCAAAACTCATGGACACAGTAATAGTGCAGTGAAGGCCTGGTAGAGAGGGTCAATGGGGAAAAAATACTTTCAACAATAAAGATACATTTTTTAAAATCATTTTTAAAACAGTTTTACTTCAGAATAGTAATCTGCTAGATCTGACAAAGTAATATAAACAGCATGTTATAGAATATTGCTTTAAATGATACCCGATATTGTGGGTATTAAAGATTGTTTACCAGTCTGTTTTTATATACATATATATGTTTGTTTGTTTTTTTATTTTAGAGAGAGAGGAAGGAAGAGGGAGAAAGAGATGGAAACATTGATGAGAGAGATCATCGATTGGCCACCTCCTGCATGCCCCCCACTAGAGATCAGGCCCACAACCTGGGCATGTGCCCTGACCAGGAATCAAACCAGTGACCTCTCAGTGCAGGGGTCGATACTCAACCACTGAGCCACACCAGCCGGGCATTACCAGTCTATTATTTATATTACATATCAGCTTTGCTTTTATAAAATTTATTTAAACACTTCAAAAAATACTTTAAGCCCTGGCTGGTTTGGTTCAGTGGTTAGAGCATTGGCCCATGGACCAGAGTCACAGGTTCAGTTCCAGTCAAGGGCATGTACCTTGGTTGCAGTTCATCCCCGGTCCTGGTCAGGATCATGCAGAAGGCAGCCAGTCATTGTGTCTCTGTCACACTGATGTTTCTCTCTCTCTCTTACTCCCTCCCTCCCTCTTTATCTGAAGATAAATGGGAAAGTATCCTCATGTGAGGATTAAAAAACAAAAACAAAACTTTAGAACTAGATACTTAACATCTCTTATGCTTTTGCTTTAAATAAAAACAGATTAATAATGCTAATGATATGGTAAAACTGTCAAGTTTTCATGGAAATCACATTTTATATTTTGAAATAATAAAAATACCTTTCAAAAATAGATGGAGAAGGTATAAAAGGCAAATTGCTCCTAAAGAGTCACGTAGTCTATAAAGAATTAATTATGTAAGTGTTGACTATTAACAGACTGTTCTGTATTTATTAAAGTTCCACTTAAATTATAACAGATTCAGTATATTATCCTTTTGAACATTTAAAAATAGTAAAACTCTTTTTAAGAGCAGGAACAGTGTGTTGGAAATAAATTAATTTTATGATTGCAGTTATATTTAAAGAGTGTATCTTGACACAGTAAATAATTGTTTCTTTGACTCTTGAATACCGTTCTTTTTTCACAACCTTTTGTATTTTCCTCTTCTTTTTTTAGTTGTTCAATTATCTGTATTATTTTAAATATAAATTTTAGTCTTCTAAAACAACTTAAAGTAGACTTGAAAACAAACATGTAGATAAGTATGATAGGTTCTTATGTACAGCCTTATTTATGGGAGCGCTAAGGATAAAAAGTGAAGTTAGAAATCACATGGTAAAAGGAAAAGTAGTTGTTCTGCCCACCAGCTATAAGATGGTCTGTAGAAGTGTACATTTCATTGACTGTGAAAGTCTTAGAATTTCAAGGAAAGAAGAATCTAATACCTTGCATAGATCTCCTGTTGGCATCATTCACTTCTTTCACTTTGTAGTACATTTTATTTTCCCGTCTCTGCTTCACATTCTGCTGTAGAACGGAAATAGTTGATTTCTAAGAATGGATAACAATTGATCTGTAGGGTTATATTAATTTACTCTGGTGCAAGTTTTTTCTTATGCTCTTAAGTTGCCCCTATAGCCAGATAATTGCAGTATCCCACATGTTCTAACTTCATGAAAAGGAAGAAAATACTGGCTATTGCCCTATATTTTTTCCTGGCTAAAACAAAGGGTGACTTCAATGGTTATCAGTATCTTTCCTGTTTTTGCTATATTTTGTCTCTTCCTACATTCTTCCCTCTAGCTCCTCAGCTCCTTTAGATGCCATCTTGCCCATTTGCTTCAACTTTGGACCTTCCATCTGGCACCCTCTTATAGTAGTCATGCTCTTGTCTCTGATAGTGAAGGATTGTGAGCATCTTTGAAGATTCTTTTTTTTAAATTTGTTGTAGAAACAACTATCCAGGGGTTTATTTTTTAACTTCATTTTTATTGTTTACACCATTGCAGATGTCCCCATTCCTTCCACACACACTTTACATACCTCCACCCAGCCCTCAACCCCCCTTCCATGTGGCCATTGCCACACTATTGTCTGTATCTGTGGCTTACACATATATGTACTTTGGCTAATCTCTTCACCTTCTTTAAATCCTTTTTCATTATAGTGATTCTTGTTTCAGGAAGAATAAACTATTTATTTTTTAATAATAAATGTAGGCTTCTGCTTAATCTTTCTATATACAATTTTTTTTTACTTGCCTATATACAGCATTTATTTATGCAAGTACAGGTAGTAATTTAGACTTGGAAATCATTTTTTAAAATCTTGTTAACTTATTGATACTCTGGTTGATACAGAATGCATACCCTCTACTTGAGAGGATTTGTTTTTAGCGTAGAAAAAAATAACAGATTTGTTCATATTTTAAGTTTATATCTACTTGCTTTCACATATTATTTATTTTGCACTTTTTATTTGTGTAGTTTTCTAGCAAGACCATCATTTTTAAGCATTTATTATATCCTGTTCTTATCCTACAAAGATTAGGTTATGATAAAATAATTCAAACACCTCCCATAAACATTGGACTTTGTATTTCACTGTGTTCAAACTGCATCTCTTTTTTTCTTATTTCATTCTGAAGATAGTAGCAGATTCAGAGAATGTGTATGGTCTTTGTCAGTAAGCCATGTGGTGACTAAGATAGGTGAAGCCAGAGGTGACTGACATGAGAGGAAATAAGTTTTCAACAATATATTGGGTGAAGGGATGAAACAAAGTCAAGGTCACATAGGGAAAAGAGCAGGGCAGCTTCATGGGCATGTGATCTGTGCAGTTGAACAGAGCCCAGTACTCTGAAGGGCCCTGCACCTGATTTAATGCTCTACTGTTGCCATCTTAACATTTTTTTAAATTTTCCAACAGGGGTCCCTGCAATATCATTTTGCATTGGATCTCCCAAATGATGTAGCTGATCCTGAAATAGATAAATAACAAGAGACAAGGATGCAAAGATTTCTGCTGTCTCCTTGATTCTTCATTCCTTTTCCCAAGGTAGCCAGAATGGGGAGCTATCAATTTGTGAAATGATGAATTGAAGACTTTGAAAAATTGTGGAAAATTAGCGTAATTTGAAAGTGATCGTGTGTGTATATACTTCAATCACTTACCAAAGAATTGAGTAGGGAGATAAGAGCTTTTAAAATGTTTTAATGTTTTGTTTTGTTTTTTAAAGTGTCAAAGATCACATGATATACAATAAGACCTTACTTTTTTTTTAGGAGCATAATTGTGAAAAAGGTAAGAGTGGGGCAAATAATGGACAATGCTCCATGTTTCTTTACAAATTTAGTAAGAGTATGTGCCCACTTTTATCAAGCATCTAATAATGTAATTGAGAACTGACTTTTTAAAACCCAGCTGGTGTGGCTCAGTGGTTGAGCACTGACCCATGCACCAAAAGGTTGCTGGTTCATTTCCCGGTCAGGGCACATGCCCAGGTTGTGGACCCGATCTCCAGCAGGGGGGCATGCAGGAGGTGGCTAATTGTTGTTCTCTCTCATTGATGTTTCCATCCCTCTCTCTCTCTCTCAAAATCAATAAAGAAAAAAAAATTTAATAAAAATAAAACCAGAGAAGAAGGAAATACCAAAATTTTCATTATAAGATGACTCCACTTGTGGGATTTCAGTTTTTAAATTGATAAAATAAATCTCTTTAAGACTCCTTCCTGTGTGATTTTAAAGGACCCACTGGCTCAATTTTAGATCTCCTTAGCTTTAGTCTAAAATGTATTAGTCCTTAGGAAAGTGTCTCCTGGGTTTTAAAGTATTCCAAAAAAAACTATCAGGAAGCATCAGGCTGAAGGGTTAAGCAAGCAAGGTGTACTGTTATCAGCCTAGAGAAGGTGTTGGAATTCTTCTATATCCTGGAAGTATAACTAAGAGAAAAAACCCCAACTTAAAGCTAACTGACTTACCCTACAGTTTCTCCCATTGCAGGAAAACAGTTTTAAAGAGTCATATTGTTAATAATTTTAAAAATCTATCAAGTCTAAATTATGGACAAGAATGATTTTATTTCATTTCTTTTTATCCTGAATTACAAGATTATATATTAAGACTATACATTAGAAACTACAAAATAAACTACATTAGAAACATTAGTTCTGCACCTAGTGACACCCGACATTGTACAAGGTAATAAATGCCAAAATGGAACTAAATGTAATTCTGCTCATCAGAAACTTAAAACATTCAATATTGACATACACACATAGAAGATATGCAAGTGACTGAACAAATGGAATAAATAAAAAATTATATTAAAGAAGTGGTAAGTGCATTTTGGGCTTCATAGGTAATAAACTTTTGTTTCTGTGTGATTGGCCTAGCAAAAAAAAAAAAAAAAAAATTGCATCTTCATTTTAGCCTACAAAAACTTGACACAGGAAGTGGAATTTTAGATGTTATATAGATGATGGAAGAAATTGATTTTCACAAACTGCAGTGAAAAGGGAAGGGAATATGTGATTTACAGAGAGGCTTTAGGAATCAGAGGCTATAGATTTGTGGTGGTGTAGAAATAGAAAGCAAAACCCTCTGGGAAAAAGGACTGAACATGTTTGTCAAAAGAAAGGAAAGGAACAAGCAAATAAAAGATGAGGAGAAAGCTGATGGAGTCAGGCTGGTGAGCTCAATGGTAGTATTGTTCACTGATAGAAATTTCAGTGGGTTTTCCTTCAGGGCAAAAAGTTTGAAAGAGACAAAATACAGTCTTTTAGATTTTCGTTTATAGTCTGTTAAATTTTTCACTGCTGTTAAGAATACAGAGATGATTTGTATCTTTATACTTTTATTCTGAGTTTTATTATCTCTTTTTAATTTAAATTCTCTGAATAATTCTCTGTCTCTCATGCTGGGTTGGGTGTCTGCAGTGTGGGTCATCTGGGCGGGGTGAGGAGAACGTATATGTACAGTGCCCCAGCCCCACACAGTACCACAATTTTCCCAGGAGGAAGGGCCCAGTGTTTACTAAAGGGCAGAACCCAGACCCTGGGTAGTAGAAGTTCTCAGCAGCCTAGCTAAGTGAGACACCCACACCCACCCCCAAAATTGTTTCTATCTTTAAACAGAGATTGTTTAAAACAGAATTTGGTTTGTAAACTGAACATTGTAATAATTTTACAGTAGATTGAACATCTTTATAAGCTTATAGCAATTTAACTTGATATTTATAAATATAAAAGGTAGAATGTCTTGGTCTGTGTACCAAACTGTACTTTTTCTGCCCCTATAACAACTCTTTTGGTTGCCTGCTATTGCATAAAGGCATGTCAATGACACTCACTTTTTCCTGCCATCACCTGGCAAAGCACTTCCGCCTTTCGAACTTTCCTTTTCTCTTAGTAACCTTATCCATGGACTAGCACAATGATTTTCAGCTTTTTTCATCTCATGACACTAATCACTAAAATTCTGCAACACACCAAAAAATATATTTTTTGCAGATCTAACAAAAAAAAATAGGTATACTTTTGATGCATTCACACCGGAGAGCTATTGTTGTGTTGGCTGTTGTCATTTTTTTTATTTTTATTTGACAATACAAGGGAAAAGAGGCCAGTGTCCCTGACAAAATAATGAGGTATTACATATTTTAAAAATGCTTGTGGCACACTGATTGAAAATGGCTAAACTAGCAAATTGGGAATCTTTTGTTTTGCTTTGTTTTTTTAATCCTCGTCCAAGGATATTTTTCCATTTATCTTCAGGTAGAGTGGGAGGGAGGGAAAGAGAGAGAGAGAGAGAAACATTGATGTGAGAGAGACATATCGATTGGTTGCCTCCCACATGACCACAACCATGGCCAGTGACCAATCGCAACCGAGGTACATGCCCTTGATGGGAATCGAACCTGTGACTCTAACCACTGAGCAAAACTGGCTAGGGCTGGGAGTGATTTTTTGTTTTTTCTTTACCCTTGACCCTTTTCAGTCCTAAATATGATTTTTGTACATTGCTTAATCTATTTGTGCCTCTGTTTTTTGTTGTTGTTGTTGTTGTTATTGTTATTTTGTATAGAAATAATAAAACTTTATTGCCACTTTAATTAAATCAGCTATTATGTGAAATCACCCAGCATAGTGCATGGACATAATAGCTGAGTTTTATTTCAGCAGATGTTATTTGTTTTTCCTCTTCTCAACTGGTAATAAATCTACTGAAAAGGTAATAATTTAGAGAAAAATGAATTGTGGTGCATGCCAAAATTTTGATTTGTATTTATACAGTAGGTTAGGTATAAATTTGTTCTCATTATAGAGAGGTTAACAAGTGTTTTCTCTTTACTTTGTATTTTTTTTAAGGTTAATTGGGGCATAACCAAAAGATAAAAAAAGCATCATTGTTTTACAAAGGACCTATCAAATAATAAATCATAATTATCTTAAGATAAGTTTGAAAATTAGTGAGAGGTGTTACATGAGACAGGTGGTTATACTTAGTTCTAAATTTAGGTATGGAATGTTTTGCTTCTCATACTAAGGCTAGTCTCTAATTTCATATCTCCATCAATGATTTTAGATATTTCAAGTTAGTGTTTTGACATACATCCATACCTGTAATAACTCATAGATTATCTGATCATAATATCCCTGTCATGTATGGCACCATATTTGCTGTAATATTTTTACCAAATTCTTACCTGTTATAACGATCTCTCTTCTGTCTTTCAGGATCCCTCAGCAAAGTAAAATTTAGTCCTCACTTGATTATAAATAGCAGCTTTGTCAATTAGACTTTTTGATATGTTAAATAAGAAGCACATGTCTAAAAGAATGATAAAAGCATTGTTCATACTTGATAAAGCTTAACCGTTGATGAGAGATTGGAACAAAAACATAACATGAGTGGATTAGCTTCATTCACGCAAAGGTTATTGAGAAACAGGAATCATGGATTTCATTCAATTCAGTTTTATCAGATCTACACTGTTCCTCAATCAAAATCATTTTACCTACCTCTTTGCCTACCTTCATCATACACTTTTCAAAGGACTTTGACTTGGTAGGTATTGCTAATGGTGCAATGCAGTGCCCTGAAGTCTCTCCTTGGGATAGAAAATCTGTTTCTAGTATAATGAACTATTCAAGAACAGGACTTTAATGAAAAGATGATATAGTCCTATAAAAATGGATTGACCTTGCTCATTTAATTCTGGAAACTTAAATGTCAAAAAAATTCTAGTGTGATACATGTGTATAAAAAAATTACACTTTTGAGAAATAGTGCTAGGAATATTTCGTTTCTATATGTTAAATAAATTAAAAATACCTTCATAATCCTTCTGCAGCTGCTATTACTAGTACGAGTATGACGACCACTTGTATAGGAAAAATATCTCTCTCGTCATGGATGGGGGGGAGCAAAGCTATTATTGTTGGTGGGATCACATCTCTTTTAAAGTGTTTTAGCTTACTGTTAATTTTTCTCAAGGGAAAAGTAGATTCATCTTTCTTAAAGTTTTTTTTTTTTTTTTTTAATTTTAAAAATAACATCTCACCCTGGCTCAGTTGGTTGGAGCATCATCCCATGCACTGAAATGTTCCAGTTTGATTCCCAGGGAGGGCACATAACTGGATTGTGGGTTTAATCCAGGTGAGGGCATGTATGGGAGGCAGCAAATCAATTTTTCTTTCATCTATTGATGTGTCTCTTCCTGTCTATCTGTCTCTTTCTCTTCCCCTCTCTCTAAAACAATAAAGAACACATCCCGTCTTATCAGACTTCAGTCATCATTTTTTATTTATGTAATTCATTTCTGACATTAATAATGCCCTTTAGCCCTGCCGGTATGGCTCAGTGGTTGAGTGTTGACCCATGCATCAAGAGGTTGCCAGTTCAATTCCTGGTTTGGGCATATGCCCAGGTTGTGGGCCAAATCCCCAGTGGATGGTATGTAGAAGGCAGCCATTCAATGTTCTCTCTCATCGATCTTTCCATCTTACTCTCTCTCTAAGATCAATAAAGAAAATAATAATAACAATAATAATAATAATAATGCCCTTTACTCAATACTTTGACATACATTGGCAAATTTAAGAGATTTTAAATATAGAAATATGAAAAATTCATTTGCATATAAAACCTATATTTGTTGTTTTTGTTGTTGTTAATCCTCACCCAAAGATATTTTTTCCATTGATTTCTAGAGAGAGTGGAAGGAAAGGGCGAGAGGGGGAGAGAGACAGAGAAAGAGAAACATCGATGTGAGAGAGAGACATCAATTGGTTGCCTCCCACACAGGGCCCAGAATTGAATCCGCAACCCTGTGGTTAACTAGCCAATGCTCCAACCACTGAGCCATACAGCCAGAGCTAAAACCTATACTTAGAATATTTTTTGCCTTCTTAAGGATAATCTAGAAACACTAATACTGCTTAGTTATTTTGTTTACAAATGATTATTAGCAACAATGTTAATTTCTCTTACATTGTGAACAAAAAAATTATTCAGAATTACCTAGTGTTTTAAGAGCTAACTACTTAGAAATTGACACGTAGAAATTTAAAAGGCTTTAGAATATGAGCTGTATAATTGCTAATTAAGGCTGGCATTATTTATAATAATCTTAGGTGTAAATGGTAATGTCTTATTGGCTTTCTACTTTATCTTGTCATTGCTGGTATAAAAAAATGTGGTCATTATTTCCTTTATTTAATTTGTTTATATCCTATGTAGAAGTATGATTATCTGAGGAGTGGTATTTTCCCCCAGATGTTAAATATGGCATACTACTTACTATTAACCAAAAGTATCATGACTAAATATTTTGCTGTTCTTGATTGGTTATAATTTAATATTTTATATATTTGGGATATATAGTTTTCAGTATTTTTATAAGGGGGTTCTTAATCTTTTTATCTTTTTGTGGTATAGACTTCTGAGTCAAAATTGGTGTAATTAAATATGTTGAGCATTTTAGTTTTTGTACTTTACTATTATAGTACAAAATAAAATAGCCTTTGCCATCATATGCAAGCTAGTCATCCATTGTGGCCAGCCCAGTTCCCACTACTAGTCTCAGTTTTCACTGTCATTCATACAGCAGTGGTTAGCCCCCACAACTTTACCACTTTTTGCTCTACCCCACATAGATGCTTTCAGCTGGCCACCACCAATATACACTCCCACCCATGGCCATATCTGGCCCCTGCAATCCCTTGGCTCCCACTACTGAGTGTGTGCCTAGGAATGGCCCCTACAACAGAGCAATCACACACAGTTGACCTTGGTCCCTTCTGCTTATTCAAACACAATCATTGCTGGAACTGTAGGCACTGCTGAGGACCCCACCAGCTCTCACAGTCACTGCTAACCCCATCGGCTGTCATTATCCAGGACCATGCAGTTGTCGATGTTACAGATACAGCTGCCAGGCCACAGGGTTCCCCCCACATTTGGAGTTGCCATATGCCTCTAATTTGACATCCTGTGTGCAATTAGACCTGGCACAACAGTATATTCTTGTATACCTTTCAAGTGGTGCCCAGGCACTCAGCCTTCAAATCTTCTGACAGGTGAAGATCTTTATGAAATCAGTACATGAAATCTAGAAAACCTTACTGCTTCTTCAAATGCACAGACAATAGTGCAAGGAAATAAGGAACACCAAGAATCAGGGAAACATGACACCCCCAAAGAATCTCAATCAACTTCCAATAACCCCAAATATATGGAGATCCACAAACTGCCTAAAAAGAATTTAAAATAATTATCCTAAAGAAACCCAGCAAGCTACAAGAGAACATTTATAAACAATTTAGTGAAATCAGGAAAATAATACAACAAAACCAAGCCCAACAAAGAGATAGGAAACAATATAAAGAACCAAACGAATTCTGGAACACAAATTCTGGAGTTGAAGAATACAATAGCTTAGCTAAAAAAAAAAAAAAAAAAAAAAAAAAAAATTAAATGTAATACAGAGCTTCAACAACAGACTCTCAAACAGAAGAAATAATCAGTGAACTTGAAGTCAGATCATTTGAAATTATTTGATTGAAGGGGAGAAAAGAATGAAAAATTCTATGTGGCTTATGGGATACTCTAAATGAACCAATATACTAATTATGGAAGTCTCAGAAGAAGAAAGGGGTAGGGAGCTTATTTAAACAAATGAGAACTGAGAACATCTCAAATCTGGGGAGAGAAATAAATGTCCAGACACAAGAAGCCCACATGACTCCAAGTAGATTGAACATAAAGATGACTACACCAAAGTACCTTACAATTAAACTGTCAGAAGTCAAACAGAGAATTTTGAAATCAAGAGAAAGGTTATCCATCACATATAAAGGAACCACCCCTTAAGACTGTTAGTGGCTTCCTCAACAAACCATTCAGGCCAGGAAAGGATGGGATGATATATTTCAAAGTACTGAAAGAAAACAGTTACTAAGAAAACAAATACAAAGGTATCCTTTAAAATGAGGGTGATAAAGCCTTTTCAAGACAAACAAAAACAGAGGGAGGTTGTCACCACTAGATGTACCATAAAAGAAATCAAGAAATTATACATAGAAAATCCTAAAGACTCCATCAGAAATCTACTAGACTTAATAAATGAATTTGGCAAAGTAGCAGGATACAAAATTAATGTCAAGAAATCAACAGCATTCTATTACATCAGTGATGAACTCACAGAAAGAGAAAAAAAATCCCATTTATCATTGTGGCAAAAAAAATTAAGACACCTAGGAATAAACTTAACCAAAGAAGTAAAGGATCTGTTTGCAGAAAACTACAGGACATTGAAAAAAGAAATAGAGGGAGATATAAAAAAGTGGAAGCATGTACCTTGTTCATGGATTGGAAGAATTAACATCATTAAAATGTCCATACTACCCAAAGCAATCTATAGATTCAATGCATTCCCCATCAAAATACCAACGACATATTTCACAGAACTAGAACAAATACTTCAAAAGATTATATGGAACCAAAAATGACCCCGAATAGCCACAGCAATCTTGAGAAAGGAGGACAAAGTAGGTGGGATCACAATGCTGGAGTATCAGGTTATACTACAAAGCTACTTTAATCAAGACAGCCTGGTACTGGCACAAGATCAGGCATATAGACCAACGGAACAGAACAGAGAACCCAGAAATTTACCCAGGACATGCTCAATTCATATTTGACAAACGTGGCAAGAGCATACGATGGAGTAAAGATAGCCTCTTTAATAAATGGTATTAGAAAAATTAGCTCCATGAAAAAAACAAAACTAGACCATCAACTTACACCATACACAACAATAAACTCAAAATGGATAAAAGACTTAAATGTGACTCTTGAATCCATAAAAATCCTAGAAGAAAATGTAGGCAACAAAATGTAGGACATCATACACAGCAGAATCTTCACTGATACATCATCTAAGACAAAAGAAACAAAGGAAAAAATGAAAACATGGGACTACATCAAACTCAAAAGCTTCTGCACAGCAAAAGAAACAACCATCAAAATGGAAAGGGAACCCACTGTATGGGAAAGCATCATTGCCAATGATACATCAGATAAGTAGTTAATTTCCAAAATATATAGAGTGCTCATGCAACTCAACAAAAGGAAGACAAAGAACCCAATTAAAAATGGGCAGAGGACCTAAATAGACACTTCTCCAAACAGGACATAGAAATGACCAAGAGGCATATGAAAAAATGCTCAACATCACTAATCATCAGAGAGATGCAAATTAAAACAACAATGAAGTATCACCTCAAACCTGTTAGAATGGCCGCCATCAACAAATCATCAAACATTAAGTATTGGCGAGGTTGTGGAGAAAAGGGCACTCTAGTGCACTGCTGGTGGGAATGCAGACTGGTGCAGCCACTATGGAAACACTATGGTGTTACCTCAGAAAATTAAAAATTGAATTGCCATTTGACCCAGTGAACCCACTTCTAGGAATATACCCTAAGAAGTCTGAAACACCAGTCAGAAAGAATACTTGAACCCCTATGTTCATAGAAGCACTATTTACAATAGCTAAGATCTGG